TTTTTTTTTTTTCTTTTTTCTTTTTTGTTACTTTTTACCAACGAGTAACACGAAGCACAAATAACATTCTCGCCTCTCCCACCCACCTCACGTACCTCAACCACGCATTCATTTATCAACTTCTTTTTATTTTCTTATTCCATTTCTTTCTTTCTATCTTTACTTTCTTTCTTTCTTTCTTTCTTTCTTTCCTTATCTACTATATATTCTATATTCTACATGTACGCATGTAAGTGTATACATACATATATACATATATATACTTAGAAATGTCAGAGGCTAAAGACGGTATTTGTATCCGGTTTGCTTTAGATCCCAAACCCCCACCTCTTCTTCCCCATACGTATAGCATAATACACGTTTATATATATATATATACGAGATAAAGAAGAGAGAAAGAGAGAAATAAATAGAAAAGGACTATTCACGCCTTTTGGGAAATCGTCGGAAGAAAACACGAAGGACATTACCTACTTACTTAGGAACTTTTGACCCTTCACATTCAGACCCATCTATATACGAATCCATACGAAATCCATGCGAATATTATAAAATATGAGGGAAGTCTTTTTGACGAGAAAAATATGACTATGGTGATGAAAGTATAGTTTTTATCAAGTGGTCCTTTAGGGGCCAACTTTTGATATTATTTTTGGTTACTACGTAAATAATATATCTTTCTAATACTTATGTTATTTATCGATATATTAGTTAAACGAAATAAAAATGTATCTCGATGAATATTTTGCGAGTTAGTTTGAAGAATTTGGGAAAGAGGGTATAATGATATAATACAGTAAATCAAGCTTAAACAATAAATATCGTCTATTGATTTCGTATCAAATAAAAGGAAGGAGCTTATGGGACAATCTAATATATATATGTATAGAGTAAATAAGGTATAACGATAGAAAAAATTGATATTTGGATTTATTTTATATCAGAATGATATAGATATTATTTTAGTAGTAGTAGTAGTAGTAGTAGTAGTAGTAGTAGTAGTAGTAGTAGTAGTAGTAGTAGTAGTAGTAGTAGTTGAAGTTTATTTCAGTTTACAGTCAAGAAAGTAAGGTTGCTTTACAATTGCTTTTTCCTCTATTACGATATAAACTTTATACGATGCAAACTCTTTTTACAAAATATTTTTTAAAGTATAAAACAAAACATCAAATCAATTTTTCTTATTTGTGAACTCAGTCCATTGTCTTAATTAACAGCACACACATATATATATACGTATTCCCAAACTTGTTATTTCAATTATGGAGAATAAACTTTGCAGTATTAATAGATATTCAAAGTAACTATAACTAATATGATTAGATAAGTAGTTATATCAGGTTAATGAATCTACTAGCTGGTAACCACCTTATTTCTTTCTCGTAAAAATGTTTTGAAGTTAAAATAGTAACGAAAAAAAAAAAAAGCAAAAAAGAAATAAGAGACCAATTATATATATATATATATAGGGGATGTGAAATTCGCGAAGACGCGTGTTTCAAATGTCAGAGAAAAAAGCTCAGAGATCGAGAGACGTACGTACTCTATCTCTCTTTCGCTTCGATCAGCACTCGCGATGCTCTTTGAAGGATTCTCAAGCGTAAAAACATTTTTCCACTTTGTTGAAGATAAAGCTTGTAGATATGATATATCTTAGTATGCTTTAAGAGAGAGAGGGAGAAAGAGAGGGGGTGCAAGGTAAGGAAGGTTGGAACGATGGAAAGGGGTAAAAAGGGATGAAGGGGTGGGGGTTTACGCGTTTCGGGTCACGTTTTACGGCGCGATTATTCGTAAAGTACACTCTTGGATTCTGGCACCAAGCTTAGGAGCTCATTCGCTAACTCGTTCGTCAGCGAGTGCTGTTAGGCTAGTCGAGTGCACAATTTTTCGAGGACGAATCCGTATACTAAGTATATGCGAATGCGTTCGAAGGACATTGCTGAGTTTCTCTCATGGTAAAAGAAAAAAAAAAAATAATAAATAAAGGAAAAAAGATGGTGGGATACTTGGGGATGATAGTGGGGATAAATGAGAGCATATTATTTTTTTTTTTCTTTTTTTTTTTTCAACAATTTTCATGCTTTCAACTTTGGTACCCGACAATCATATGATCTCATGCTTAACGTTATTTAATATAACGCGACGAGAATTGTATATTACGGATGTGAATCATTTTCATTCGTGCGATATTTTAACTTTTTTTTTATCTTCCTATTTTCCTAGCATTTGTTCTTTTATTTTTATTTTCTTTCCTAAGTTTTTTCTGTCAGGTATTTTTTGTGAATTTTTTTTTTGTCTGATTGGTATGCATCAGAGTGTGTTCAATCATTATTAATTATTTTATATGTGGATATTCACAATTTTATTATTAACAAAATATTTGGACAAATTCTTTTACCTCTAGTTTGTGTTTTATCAGAGAACAATGTTTTAACTCCGATAAACATTCTTTGTTGGTCTTTGTCTACTGATATATTATGATATTATGATTACAAATAGAAAAGCAAACACGTAGAAAGAACGCGTGCCATTTATCGCTACTGGTTCGAGCTAATATTATCGTTATATAAAAGCCACGTACTTTGGATCCAATAATGTTTCGGTACGATATGCGGATTTAATATCGTGGTTAAACTTTATCGTTTGGAGGAGTTCACGTTTTCTCTTTTACTTGTGCGATCATTTATAAAAACCAAGTAGATTTTTATACTAGATTTTTACTTTATAATGAAACATTTTTCTTTTTTTTTTCTTTTCTTTTTTTTTCAACGAGTTATACATTTTCTTTTACAAACTTTTATAATTATTTTTTAACCATACATACACACACACACACACGCAGATAATAAGATTTTATTATTAGATTTTTATATAGATGAAAACAATAAACGCATATGAACGGTAAAATGAATTTG